TGACTCCAAGGTAATCCTCTGTATGCTTTACCTTCTTCTATCTTTCTGATAAAAGAGGCAAGAGGGAAATCTGCTCTACCTCATTAGTATGGCAACAGAAAATTATTTTACTATTAGGTAAATTAATAGATCCACAATATTATACTTAAATTACCTCCAAATATTTTGATTCTCCCTCTCTGTACATGTCTTTCTTTCTTTCCTTCCTTCCTTCTCTCCTTTCTTTCGCCTAACTCAATTATAAATATCAGACGGCTCTGGTACAGAAATCCAATCTCCCTGGAAATTATGTCACTGTAGGCCAGGTGGGGACACATACTATTGCCCATCTCCAAAATTTCAAAGTATGAGACCAAATTTTATGTCTAAATAGATAGCACTAGATTGAGTAGAACCAATTATAAATATTTATCACTAATGTAAACACTGAGAAATAGTAGGGTTCAAGACCTCTTTTAAAGCAATAGAAGACAGTCTCATTTTATAATTGATGATACAAAGTAACGTAAAGTCATACTGTTATTCTCTGACAATTCAAATATAGAAGAGTAGTATTGAGATCTGGGTGCCCAGGTACTAGGTATCACTATGTCAATGGCAGCTATCCATATTAAAATTAAAAAATTATTAAACTAATAGATAAGTCTGCAAAATTATCAGTTGCCTTATATATCCTCTAGAGATGAGCTAGTATAAGAAATTAAAACTATATAAGCTAAATAAAATGATCTCATGATTTCTACTGCCCAATAAAGTAATCATTTACAACACTAATAAAAAAAAAGTGAAGAAAAGCAAAGCAAAACACCACCATAACTTCATTTTTACTCTAAATTTTCACCCTCACAAAAGTTTAGGTTCAGGTTTTCTTAATGATGAGCTTTACAAAGCCTGATGTTTTGTAAAAGATGGCCTGGAGTGAGTACTGAAATCTGTAGTCCCAGTCATTTCAAGAATTCCAAGTAAACCATCTACAATAGGACAAGCTATTTTTCTGATTTTCATTTCTGAATTAAAGCACCATTCTAACTGTAAAATACAGATTTGGCAAAGGGGCTCACCGGTAAAGAGGTTTTTTCTCCACTTTTTTTCTACTTGAATCACTGGTAGCCACAATAATACCAACACACATATGCCTAAGAATTTTATTTAAAAGGGTAATAAATTAAATCATATTTGCAAACCCATAGGCATATTATAAATTAATCTAGATGTTTGGGGTATGGTTATATTCCCAAATGCCTGGATCAAGTTCATAGCCTAAGGCTACCCTTCATTGTGTGACCTTGGACAAGTATTCAATCTGTTGGTACCTAAATTTTAGCATTTATAAACGTGCCATACAATGTGGTAGCCACTAGCCATATCTGACTATTTAAATTTAAATTAATTAAAACTAACTAAAATTAAAAATTCAGTTCCTCAGTAGCGCTTGCCACATTTCAACAGCTAGTTCTGGCTAGAGACTACCATACTGGACAGTATAGACTTGGTGATGAAAAATAAACAAGATGAAATGATTTTGAGTAACAAATGAGAACAAGGGAGTAGGGGTGACTGTTTTAGATTGGATGGTCAGAAAAGGCCTCCCTGAGATGTTGAGACTTGAACAAGATGCACCGAGCACGCAAGGATCTGCACAGAACATCCAACGCAGGGACAAGAGCAAGGACAAAGGCCTCAGGCACGAATGGGCTTGACTGGTTTAACAACCAGAAAGTGTGTATGAAGCGTAAGAAATGAGGAGAGAAGAGTATGAGGTGCAAGAAGTGGCAGGAAGCAGGGCCTCAAGGGCCTTGTAAGCCATTTGAGAACTCTGGATTTTATATTAAGTGCAATTGGAAGACACAGAGGGTTACAGAGAGAGGACTGTTATGATTATGTTGTCTTTAAAAGTTCACTCTGACTGCTTTTGGGAACTAACCATAAGAAACCATTAAAATGTCTACAAATTACAAGAAACCATTAAAAAGTCTACAAATAATAAATGCTGGAGAGGGTGTGGAGAAAAAGAAACCCTCCTACACTGTTGGTGGGAATGTAAATTGGGCCAGCCACTATGGAAAACAGTATGGAGGTTCCTCAAAAAACTAAACATAGAGTTGCCATATGATCCAGCAATCCCACTCCTGGGCATTTACCCAGACAAAACTATAATTTGAAAAGATACATGCACCCCTATGTTCATAGCAGCACTACCTACAATAGCCAAGACATGGAAACAATCTAAATGTCCACTGACAGATGAATGGATAAAGAAGATGTGGTATGTATTTATATATACAATGGAATATTACTCAGCCATTAAAAAGAATGAAATAATGCCATTTGCAGCAACATGGATGGGCCTAGAAATTATCACACTAAGTGAAGTAAGTCAGAAAGAGGACAAATACCACATGATATCACTTATATGTGGAATCTAAAATATGACACAAATAAACATATCTACACAACAGAAACAGACTCACAGACATAGAGAACAGACTTGTGGTTGTCATGGGGGGCAGTGGGGAAGGAAAGGACTGGGAGTTAGGGATTAGTAGATGCAAACTATTATATATAGAAAAAAAGAAAGAAAGAAAGAAAAGAAACCAAGAGTAGAAGCAGGAAGATCTGTAAGAAGACTAGTGCCATTGCCCAGGTGAGAGAAGATGGTGGCCTGGACCAGGACAGTGGGAATGGGATAGAGAAAATGTGTCCATGCTCTACATCCCCTGTCTACAGTCCTGTGTTCACCATCCTTCACAACCTGGCTCCTTGAAATAGGCAGCTTCACTTTTTAACTCCTCAATATCTGGTAAATATGCTTTCTGCCCCCAGACCTTCCACTGAAGCTGTCCTAAGGTCCCAGTCACCTCCACCTTCCCAAAGCCATTGAGGCCTTTTCCATTCTTATCCTAGCTGACCTCTGCTGCATTTGCAACTGCTGACCACTCTTCCCTTCATCAAATCCTCTCTCAATTCTGGGGCATTACTCTCACCTGGGTTTCTTCTCTTTCTCAGTCTTCTTCCCATTAATCTCCATTTGACTCTTAAACTTCAGTGCTCCTCTACGGTTACATCTTCAGTCCTGCATTCGTTTCACTATATTCATAACCCTTGAGACTGACTGACACGTTTTGCTGGTAACTCCCAAATTAATGCCTCTGGCCCAGGGATACTTACTAAGTTTTAGACCTGTTCTACTGGACTCACTGCATACGTTTAAAACTGGACAAACGGCAAACATTTAAGATGCAAGAGGTCCAAAACCTATTGCCTTCATTCCCCTTCACGAGAAACCCTTGCCCGAGCCAAAAGCCAAAGGCATCCTGCACTCCCTCTCCCTCACCAGCTACAACCCCTAGCACCGGATCTTCATTAGGTCCTGTAGACTCTACCTCCTTAATATCTTTCTAATCTAGCTCCTGCTCTCAAGTCCTGCTGAAGCTACTTTAGTTCCAGCTCGCATCACTTCTGCATGGATTACTGGAATAGCCTCCCAACCAATTTCCCTGCTTCCTATCTCTCCTCCACACTGCTGTCAAAGCACAAAACAGGTATTCAAAACTTTGTTGATTACATTAAGTACAATCTGACCACGTCATTCCTCTGCTTAATGTCTTTCAGATGCATCCCACTCCTTTCAGAAGGCTTGGGATCAAGCTCCTTATTACCTTTACAGCTCACCCCCGCAATCCTTTCCCTCATATTCTCCTCTTCAGCCATTCAGCCTTTCTTAGCTCTCTAAATATCATGCCATTTCAGGCCTCCCTTCCTCTGCATATGCTATTACCTCTCCCTTATTCATCTAGCTACTACTTCAAAGGTAGGCCTAAGTACCTCCAATTCAAGGAAGTATCCCCTAGTGCCATATATATATAATCACGCTATACTGAGATATATATAAATTAACAAGGGGTTAATTTATTTGTCCCAGCAAATTATAAGCTCTTAGATGACAGAGACCACCAACCTTATTTGATCTGCAGCACTATTGACTCGCACAGAGTAAATATTCATAAGTAGGTTTGATTTGATATCTTCTAAATTTTTAAAAAGGGGAGGAGCTTAGTTAGTGGGCCTTTCATCACCATTCCAGTAGAGCACAAAGTAAAAGCACTATACTGCAAAGCCAAATGTGCTTTGGACATATGGCTTTGTAGTAGAGCGGAAATACGAAGAAATCAAACACAAAAACCACACCGTTTCAATAGGAGAAATGTAGGAAATTCTGAGGAACTATGCAGTAGCCAATAAACCAGACTTGGGATTTTATACTACGTGGACAAGTCACACTGTTTGATGATAATAACAGGCGGACGGTTTCTCATCTCAATAAAGCAAATTAACTTTTCACGGCCATGCTACTGTAACTTTAGTTCCTGATGCGGATTCTCGCTCCCCGACAGGTTATTTTCCTTAGTTGAGAGCCGCCTACTCGCCACCTTAGGAGTCTCTCACTTGTCAATCATTTATTCTCTAAATCTGAATGGGAGGAAAGGGGAGGGAAGAAGGGAGAGTGTGGGCGATGATAAACCCTTTCGGGAGGGGAGGTAGCAGAAGGCCACAGTCCCAGGCATAGAGGAGCGTAGGGGTTGAGGAAAAACGAGGCTAGAGCGCTGACAGCTGGCAAGGAATGGGGAGGAGGATGCGATCGCGGAGCAGGCAGTGTTAACAGGGGGCCCCGGGCTGGAGGGAGGGAAGATGGAGGAGAGACAAGTAGGAGTTGGGCGTGGGGAAGTGGGATAGGTAGAGACCAGATGAAGCAAGACGCACTGTATGGCCAGAGGGCGGAGTGGCTTAGGCGAGAGGAAGACAGCAACGACGCAGCCAGGGCGGGCGGAGGCGGCTTCAGGACGAGGAGGGCAAGGGATCCGCGCAGAGAGAACAAGGGAGGCGCAGGGGCAACTAGGAGCAGCGGGGTAGAAGGGGCGGAGCGGGTGGGAGGCCCGACGCAGCCGAGCAAGTCCTGCGGGCGGAGGCGGGGAAGGGAGCGGCGAGGCGGGGGCACTTACTGGGGTCCCTCCTCACGGTGCAGCTGGGGTTCTCCTCCCGCAGACGAGGGAAGAGGAAGTCCCGGGCGGCCTGGAGGTCCTGGAAGGTGCAGAACTGGACAATGGAGCAGGCCATGGCTCCGGGGAACCCTGTTCGGGCATTCACCTTACCTCACCACGCCCTGCCCCCCGCCCCCCCGCCGCCGCTACAGCCGCCACCGCGGAGCCTGAAGAGCTTTCGCCACGCAGTGACGGGGAAACAAAACCGGAAGCTGTCAGCACCCTCGGGTCCGCCGCCCGGGCACTGCGCATGCGCGGGACGGCCCAGGTGCCCAGGCTGCAGCGGCCCGGGTCACGTGACCAGCGGCGGCCAGCGGGGTGTCTAACGTCGAAGCGGAGGCTGGGAGCCGGCTTTAGTCACAGTTCTGCGCTTGCACCCGGGATTGATCCCTTTTATTCATTCTGGCTGTTAGCCAGAGATGATCTAATTGGACGTTGTCCGCGCCGGCCTTTGATTCATTTAACCAAGTTTCTTGACGTCCTACTATTGGCATGATCTTGATATTTCAGAGAATAATCCCGGTTAAACTACTGGCAGGCCAGTGGGGGACAGTATCACGCAAGTATCTGAATCTGAAAAGATTAATTTCCCTTCTGGAAATCAGCCCCCTCAAGCCTAGTTTTAAATGCTCCTCCTGTAAATCCTCTTGTCATCCTGTGCACGCCTAATATAGAACGTGTTATACGGTATTGTAGTCATGTTTTCGACATGCATTTTCCCTTTCATTCATTCGTTCACTCATCCATTCAACAAATACATTGCTCCTCTTTTCTATGTCAGCCACGCAAGGCGTTGAGTATAAAGCAGAGAACAAAAGAGATGAAATACTTGTTCCATGGAGCTCAAAATTCTAGTGGCTGACACGGGTAGTAAGCGATTATTTACTCACCTATTTAACTCAAATTGTGATAATACCAGGAACGAAAGAAGTAAGTTCGAAGTGCTGTGACAACATAACAGGGAACCTCACCTAGTTGTGTTTTTTTTGCTTTGTTTTGCTGGGGTGGAGGTGGAGGGTTGCCAAGATCAGGAACAGACTTCATTATAAGCTCCTGAAGGCTGGGATGTCATTTCGTGCCCTTTATATCCTGTGTATAGCACAAGACGTGGCACATAGCTCAATAAATATTTGCTGGAGGAATAAATGGAATGTGTACATAAAGTAAATAGAACAACCCGCTTCTTTTACAAAGCACTATATATTTTTTAGAGTATTTTTCCACACATTGTCCAATTAGGTAGTCACAATGCCATCCTGAAAAAGTGTGTCTTATCTCATTTTTTTAACGAAGAAATTTATCTGTGTGTCTCTGAGAAGACTCTTTAAGTCCATTTAAATGATTTTTCTGAAAAGTAACCAAAAACGATAACATTCCTTCTTGATCTTGTAAGGGGTCACATGGCACTTAGATCTGGATTATGTAAACTGTCAATAATACGTCATCTGATGTACAGTCTTCTGTCTCAAAAATCACATATAACTGTGCCTGGACTTCTAACTGGCGGAACAGTTCTCAGAGCTTTCTGAGATGCTCTTCCCGGGTTATAATCCTGAAATGTGGCTCAAATAAAATTTTCCATTTCTTTCTTAGATCAATGGATTAATTTTTGTTGCCCAAAGGAATTATTTTAATGTTAGCATAAAGAAATGTAGACACAAACTTTCCAAAGGAAACCTAAAGTGGTCGTCTACTTTGTACAACAGAAAAATGGGATGGAAATAAATTGAAGGCAAATAGATGAAGTCCAGAGCATTCATTTCTGTCAGATCTGTGTGCCCACTCAGTCCTAATAATATAACAACTGTGATTTAGTGCCCAGATTCCTACTTCATTAATTCCTGTTTCTAAAGTAGAATGATTTTCATAAAATAGGATAATTTCTATGTTATCAGATGAACAGGGACCAGTTCTTTACCTCTAAAATATGTGGTTGGTTTAGATGTGCTACAAAGTTCCTTCAGCATCAGAGAGCTATAATTCTAAAATCAAAACCTGTAGAAAAGGCAAGCTTTCACTGCTTCCTTTTTCCATCTGAAAAAATGCAATGCTTCCTCACATCATCCAGCCCTGATGATTAAACCGTAAAATATGGCACCAAGACCAAACTAGAATAAAATTTTAATTTAGATTCTTAGTTTTACATGATGACTAAAGAACACATGATACTTTTGGAAACGACACAGTGTCATTCCTTGAAAACCCTTCAAGTTCCTATTCAGGTAAATGCATTTTGTGGAAGTAACTCCCCTTCGCTGATTCAGCTGGTCTTTGTTCTGCCCTGAGGCATTCATATCTCTTGCGTGGGGGACACTGAATTTCATTACTGCTCAGTTTCAATGGTGAAATCCCTGACTTCCTTCCAAGTAGTACTGAAAAGACTCATTCATGAATGTTTTTAAGGACTTTAAATACCCTTCACAGAAATTACCTCATATTCATGAACTGAACTCTTCCCCCCGGGGAAGTTCTAAAGCGGCAGGGGGATGCCTCTGGAGTTCTGCTGCCATGGTTTCTGTGGAGCGTGGGAGGATTGTGTTACACAGCGAATATCACTAACCACACAGCCATAAGAAAGCACATTGCAGAAAATGGGCAGGCTTTCCATATCCCAGCCTAGACAGTGTCTCTCTAAGGTTTGACTTCAGAAGCTAGGAAGAGACTGTGACCAAACAATTGCAAGAATGTGAACTCTCTCCAATATCTGTTATTGTGAGTTAGAGCATGGATAACTGTCTTTAAAAGAGAGATACTCACTGAGCATTAGAGGCTTGGCCTTGCCAGTCTTTTAACAGCAGCCAGAGGCTGAAGGTGTTGAGAGCCAGGGTGGGTAGCAAAGTGTGAAAAAAAGAGCAATGGACTTGGAGTCAAGAGACCTGATTCTGTCTCAGCTAGGCCTCCTAATAGGTCACATGAACTTGGGCAATTCATATCACCTTGCTGGGCCTTAGTCCCTTGAGCTATGAAATGAGAAGAATGGAGTCTGAAGCCCATCTCAGGGATGTGTAGGTTTTGGTAAGAAAATGGGAAGGAAAAGTTCTCGGCATTGGAGTTGCTCAAAAGGACGGGTCTATGTAGACACCCTAGTAAGGGGCCTGGGTGGGCAGGAGTGAACAAGAAGGCACTGAGCATCTGTAAGTGAAATAAAGGAGAGCGGAAAAAGGGAATATCTTGAAGCACTGAAGCCTTATGTCATAGCTGCGCTGAGGGTCATCCTTGACCTGAACTCTGAATTCTGTGAGCGGAAGCAAAGGCTGTACACAACTCGTTTTTCTTCAGCAAACATCCACGGAGGATAACGTCTATCTGACTACACTAAAGATACTGTTGTGAGCACAGTGAGGTGATAAGAATGAGTCCTCCAGAGACTCACTGCCTAACCAGGGAAACAGACAAGCCCGAACAGCTCTAAAAAGCAGAGTGTGATGAGTACCATGGGTGACTTTCGGTGCTCGTAAAGCACTGTGGGAGAAATAAGGGGGAGATTCATTTTGATTCCTAGGCTTGTCCTGTGGAAAGGGAGTAGTGGGGGAAGAGGTATGAAAGGCGATAAACAGATTGGTTCCACATTAGCGAGAACTTCAAAGTCCAAATACTAGAACCTGAACTTTATTCTCTGTGCAAGGTGTAGCCAATTGAAGAGTTTTTTTTAGAAGAGGTAGGACATGATGGGTCCTACCCATCATGCATGACGTGGCATGACTGACAGCAGAGAGACACCTCAAGATAACATAACATTATTCTAGATGAAAAGTAATGGCAATGAAAATGATTCTGGAGCCGGGATCAATGGATTTTTGGTATATGATTAGATATGGATGGTGGGGAGGGAAGGCGAGACTCAAGATGATGTTGAGGTGTTCTGTCTGAAGAACTGGAGAGATGGCAGTGTCATGTCAGCAACCAAGAGGGAGAAGGCAAAAGGGGGAATGGATTAGGGTGCAGATAGGAATAGGCTGAATTCAGTATCGGAGTTGTTGAATTCGAAATGTCTATGGAAGATCCAGGTTAAAACAAACAAACAAACAAACGTGGATTTTATAAACAGAAGTTAGAAATGTGGGATTAGAGAGGCCATCCACGGGAGTTATATTGAAGGGTGGGGATGAAAGTGTCACTGAACTCTACATGGGGTAAGAGAAGGACTGGGTCCTGGAAACAAGATGGGAGGATTACGTTTTTAGGGATGCATGGAGGAAGAAGCTCTAGAAAAGGAGATTGAAAAGAAGCAGTCAAAGAAATAAACCGTACATAGTAGCACCATGTCACAGAGGCCAAGGGAAGGAAAAGAAAATTTCATGAACAGGTGAATCTACTGTGTTGAATTCAATAAAGAATTTAAGGGCAGTGAAGGCTGAGAAGAGATGATTGCATTTAGTAAGGGGGAAGTCACAAGTGATTATCCAACTTACAGATGAGCCAAACTCTGTTTCCTTGGCAGAAAATTTGTAACCTCACTTCAGTAGTAGATTCTTTTTCTAACAGCCACAGAGGCTAGCTATGGCAATCTTTGTCTTTAACTCTGGCTTAAGGAGAGACATTTTAGAAAGAAAAAGAAGGGTTTGTTTTGCTGGCATTTACCAATCACGAAAAAACTAACTCCACTTAACAAAAGCAACATTTATTGCTTTTTTGAATACAAGAAAATATATTTATATTTTCAATATTTTCCAATATTTATAGTGGGCCAAAATGTACTTTATAATAGCATAAGAAAGGAAGATATTAACATACTCAGCTAAAAAATCTAAGTGCTATAGTGCTTTTAAGTCTCCATCTTCTTTTGTGTGTGTGTGCTATTGATTACTGTTTTTGAGACATAATTGACATACAACATTATATTAGTTTCCGGTGTACAACATAATGATTCAATATCTATATATTGTGAAATGATCATCTCAATAAGTCCAGTTAAACTCCACCACCATACATAGTTACATTTTTTTTCTTGTGATGAGAACTTTTAAGATCTACTCTCTTAGCAACATACAAATATTAAGTTACAGTGTTATTACACTGTTATTAACTGTAGTCACCATGCTGTACATTACATCCCCTGTGATTTATTCATTTTATGGCTGGAAGATTTACCCTTTGACTCCCTTAATCCTTTTTCCCCATCCCCTCCACCCCTCCCTCTGGCAACCACCACTATGTTGTCTAACAGCTCTTTTTTTGTTTTT